ATGTGAGTGTGTGTGTGTGTGTGTGTGTGTGTGTGTGTGTGTGTGTGTGTGCGTGCGTGCGTGCGTGTGTGTGCGTGTGTGTGTGCGTGCGTGTGTGTGTGTGTGTGTGTGTGGCAGACAGACAGACAGACATACACACAGACAGACGTACAGAGAGACACGCACACACATACATATGGACAGACAGATAGACAGCATGGTTGACAGACAGACACACACACACACCGCACACAGACAGACAGACAAACAAACAGACTGACAGACAGACAGACAGACAGACTAACAGACATACACACCCCGAGCCAGACAGACAGACAAACATAAAGACAGACAGACATACATACAGACAAACAGACAGACGAAGTTGGCTACTGGGTGCCATTCCCCTCGGAGAGAGATGTCATTCGCAAGTTTTTGGCACGCAGTAGCCGAATTCAAGGTTGCATGCCTGTGTGTGTGTGTGTGTGTGTGTGTGTGTGTGTGTGTGTTTGTGTGTGAGAGAGAGAAACATCCAGGCAGACAGACAGAGAGATACACAGACAGACATACATACACATAGACGGACAGACTGGCAGATAGGGAAACAGACAGACAGACAGACAGACGGACAGACAGACAGACAGACTGACATACACACACATGCACAGACAGACAGACAAACATACAGACAGACACACAGACAGAAAGACAGGCAGACAGACAAACAGATAGAGCGACAGACTGAGAGACAGACCGACATACAGACACACATGTGCACAGACAGACAGACAAACATACAAATAGACAGACAAACAGACAGACACACAGACACACAGACACACAGACAGACAGACAGACACACACATGCACAGACAGACAGACAAACATGTTGACAGACAGACAGACTGACTGACAGACAGGCAGACAGATAGGCAGACAGACAAACAGACAGACGAAGTTGGCTAGTGGGTGCCATTCCCCGTCCCAACGGTCATCATTCGTCGGTTTCTGGCACGCAGTAGCCAACTTAAATGTTGCATGTCAGAATATGTGTGTGTGTGTGTGTGTGTGTGTGTGTGTGTGTGTGTGTGTGTGCGTGCGTGCGTGCGTGTGTTGCAGACAGACGTACAGACAGACAAACATACATAACATACGGAGCAGACGGACCACATAACTTCTTTGTGTTGTCCATGTATATCTATGACCTATGTGTATTTATTCCTGCGATAGAGGTTGGACAATTCAACGTAGTCCCACGTTCAGCCGTTCGACATTATTATAGGTGTTCGTTGGTTGAATAAGAGGGGAGGAAGCAAAATTTGGAATCACTTTTTTATCTGTCTCTCCCTTAATTTTTATAGATTTCTCAATTGGATGAAACCAAGCATGTTTATGCATTGAAACCAAGAAAGGAAGAAGACGAAAAAAAAACAACTCATCCTCTCTCTCTCTCTCTCTCATGTTTATACATTCAAACCATACTTGAAGGAAGGAAGAACACAAAATTAAAAACGATAGAGAGTTAAAGAAAGAAAGTAAGAAAGAAAGAAAGGAGAACAAGAAAAAAATAAAAAAGAAGAGGCTCACTAGTTGGAGGCAAAATCAGCGACAGTGTCGTCGATCTATACATATATGTCCCCCACTAGTAAACCTGATCTCTCTCTCTCTCTCTCTCTCTCTCTCTCTCTCTCTCTCTCTCTCTCTCTCTCTCTCTCTCTCTCTCTCTCCATATAAGCCACCGAACACCAGGAAGACTAACCATGACACGCAGTCGACGGGAGAACCATTACTCGACACACACAACACAATTCTCAAACAACCTTTTTTTTCGCGCCCCCCCCCTTACGAGGCACTGCTCTCCTCTTCTTCGCGCCTGCTCTGCTGCCATCCGTCTCCTCCTGTCTGGCCTCCATCCGTCGCTGCCTCTCCTCTGCTCTTGCCCTCTCGCCCAACATTCCTTCATATTTCTCCACCCGGCGAGGCTTCGACAACCTATCCACCAGCCTCATGTCCTTGACCTGGATCGTCACCCTCTTCGAGTGGATCGCGACCTCGTTGGTGTTCTCGAAATTGGAAACCAGGTACGCCTCGGCAGCCTCCATCAAAGCACTCACCGCCGTCATCTGAAACCTCATGCCTTCACCAGGAGCAATGGTCTCCTCCACAACCTCGCGCACGATCCGCAAGAATGGCCTGAAAGCCAAGCAGAGGTCAGTGGATCGTTGCAACTTCCTGATTTCCGCCAGAGTTGCCATCTCGGGGCGTCGACGGCGTCTGTGGGGCTGACTGCGTGCATCTGCAGTGTCATCGGTGGCTGGCACGGGCTTCGGGCTCTTCTTCTTTTTGCCTGCAGCCGTCTTCCCACTTGGCGGTTTCGACGCGCACTTCTTCATCTTCCTCGGGCTCTGGGACATCGCAGTGTGACTTGGGCCGGTCGTGTCCCCCTGTGCTACAGAGCACCCTGCGCTGCCACGAGGACCACCTCAGCAGACAAACGGGAAATTCCGTAGCGCTTCTCTGTCCTCTTGCCCTTCCACGTCAATCCACCTGCCAAGTCGTTCTCCACGACATACCGAATGTCTCGCAGGAGTCCATCTGAGTAGGTCAGATGGAAAGGCACACCAAACGGGTCTGTGAATGTCATGGTGACGTCTCCACCATGCTCGTATGTCATGGGACATACGACTAGGACCCAGCCAAGAAGTGTCGTGCAACGGTGCCTGCGGCGAATGTGAGTCATGTATATGTTCTCACCGTCGCCGTGCTCTTGCCCAGCGCAACTCTCCTCAACCATGGACCAGATCCCCTGCTCTGCCATGGAGTCCTAACCCGCACACACCATCTGACGGTCCTCCTCCCTGATCTTCTCCCAACAGCACGATGGGGGCTCGAAAAGGTGGCAGGCGCAGGCGTTGTGTCGTCGGCGGCAGTGACGGGCATCGTGCCCTCGGCGTCCACCGCCGTGCATGGAGATGGACAAGTCTCACCAACCGCACCCGACGCCGACGGCCGTGCACTGAGGGAAGGAAGATCGTGCATGTGCCTGGCGGGCGACGCCTGCCCTGCTCCAACGGCTCCAGGCGTGCCTGCCTCTCCCGCACGGGCAGACCCACAAGCGGCCCTCGCTGCTCGATTCCCTCCCGCGCTCGCATCGTCTGCATCAGTGCCGCCCAATATGTCGTCTGCATCGTCCACAGGCAGGCTGTGGGATTCTGCCTCTGGTGCGAGCGTGGCGGCAAGGACGCCTGAACAATCATCCGCCGCTCGTGGCGGGAGCACCCGACCCGCAGGGCTCACAGTCACAGGGGCCGCCCGCTCTAAGAACCCGTCTCCTCGATAAGGCTCCGTCAACCAGGAGACATCATCATCAATGACGTCCTCCCCCTGAACCGCCTCACCGCCCTGGTGACGAATCTGGTGGGCCAATGCTGTTGCAGCCCTCGCCAAGCGTCTGCCCCTCGGCTGTCTCCTGAGGCGGTCGGCCTCCCTCTCGATCTCCGTCGGGTCGTACATCCCAGGATCCATCTCGTCCGGCTCGTAGCGAGCGAAGTCCTCAGCCCTCCTCTCGACATCGGTCAATCCAACCCCCGAGAAACCAGCCCCGATAAACCCCTCGCGCGCGTGACTGCTCTTGAGAAGCTTGATGTTCCAATGACATAACACAAGCTTCTCCAACTGCTCAACGCCCAACCTGTTGCGCCTTTTCGTGTGAACGAAGTCGTGCGTCGACCAATTCCTCTCACACGGAGAGGCTGTGGTCCTCGCACCCAAGCAGCGCATGGCAATGTCCCACAACACCCGATGACTGGCCCCCTGCACCCTCCACCACTGCACAGGATCGAAGTCGGGCTCCTCCACGCTCGCATCCCCAATGTCCCCCCCTCATTGAGCAGGTGTGGGATACTTGTCGTGGAAGTCCTATAGAGAACTCCACACGACTGTCATCAGCGGGCCCTGTCGACCACCCTCAATCTGGCTCCCCATGTACGAAGAGAATGCGCTCCTCTGTCGTCCCACGCATCAAAAGATCGATGCTGCGGTACTTGGGGTGCAACAAGTACGCAGCACAATGAATGGGGGTCAAAAGCATATCCGACCTCTCCTTGACTATCTTCTTGATGGGCATGTGACAAGCCTCATCAAGCGACAGTCCGTCGACTGTGGTCCGCAGGCGCTCCAACAATCCCCACACATCGCCGACTCTCCGCCCGTCAGAATCAACCTGCTGCAGGAGCTCGTAAATTGGCTCCATAATGGTGCAGACAAGCTCCACCTGCTGCCACCACCGCAGATCGCGAAGAAGGTCGAAGCACCTGCGTGCTTTGTCCCTCAACGCAGGGAGCCACGGGGACGTCGCCCAGGCGACACCGCTCACACATGCATCCAAAGGCCGATGCAACGTCACCATGCGTTGCAGCATGATGTAGTTGGTCCCATACCGCGTCTCTCCCGGCCAGATCAATGATACAGTGGGGAATTGTCGGCTCAAAAGGTACGCTGCCCGTGCATGGCGTCGAAAAAACAGTGTGATGTCTCATCCCTCTGCAATCACCTGCGCGACCCACGGCTGTCTGGCGATGTGCGTCAGCATCAGATTGCAGCAGTGAGCTGCACAAGGAATCCATGTGATGCGGCGCAGTCGCTCATCGGGGTCGCCACGGAGCAAATGGTAAGCCTCCTTGTTGGCTAACGCGTTGTCCGTGCATATGGCGCCCACATGCTCTGCACCGATCTCGAGGATGAGCTCCCTCCATCTGCGGCACAAACCTGCCCCGGTCCTCCCTTGCCAAACATATCCTCCACCCGGTAGAGCGACGCCCCCAACCTCCCTGCGACCAAGTAGTTGCAGAGAGGGCGGTTGGCCTGAGTCGACCAACCGTCAGTCATGAAAGTGACCCCCCCAGACCACGACTCACGGTGATACCTCAAGCGCTCGTTGAGCTCTGCGTACAACATGGACAACAGAGTCGTCCTCAGGAACTCGTACTGTGGCTGACGCGGCCTGTAGGGACCCCTAAACTGACTGAGATAGGCGTCATGAAGCGCCACATACAACTCCAATCTGGCGATGTTGAATGGCACACCACAACCCACAAAGAATCGGATGTAGGCCATATCCAGGTCGTACTGAATGGGGTGTTGAACCCATTCATCCAGGCGAGTCTGAGTCAGGTGCGGCACTTGGTGACGATCCTGTCTACCCTCCACAGGGGCAATTGCAAGCCCCTCCTCGAGGTCCGAAGGGACCTGAATGCCCTCATCTCTCGCCCGTTGTAGCATCCTTGACCTCCACCACTGCTGCTCGTCCTGTGGAGCGTGCTATGATCCGTCCGCCTCACGGCATGCCCTCGTCGGCCCGGCAGCACCGCTGGGATCACACACCCTCTTCCCCATTGGATCAAACTGTCTCGTCAGGGTGCCCTCTGCACCATCTCCCCTGCCCTCGTTGTGCACTCTCGACGAGCCCTCATCATGAGGGCCCACTCCTTCAGACGGGCCCGCTCCTCTGGAGGAGCCTGCTCCATGTCGTCGTCCCTCTGCTGCCTGACCTGCTCGGTCCGGCCGTTGTGGCCCCCATCCTCCACGAGCCAAGTCGTGCACGGGGACCAGGGGGGGCTCTCGTGCCGCGACGCCAGGCAATCTCCAGTAAAGGGGATGCTCAAAATTGAGCTCGCCATCCCTGTCCGCCACCCTCACGTAGACAGGGAGGGACCCCTTGAGTGCGACGGCCGCAACCAGATTTTTGGAAGTGCTCGTCAAAGCTTGAAACTTTGCTCTTTCTCTCTCTCTCTCTCTCTCTCTCTCTCTCTCTCTCTCTCTCTCTCTCTCTCTCTCTCTCTCTCTCTCTCTCT